TACTATAGAGCAGTGTTCTTTGGTTAAACACAGAAAGGCCGTCAACGCCATGCTCCTAATATTCGGGAGTGGATTGAGTCTAAAACACATCTACTCCTGGGTATCTGTCATAATGACTTGACTCAGGTGTCAGTTGCTGTAGTTCCCAACACCCCATAAGGGAGGTCCTGCCGTGGGGCTGGGATGGACCCAGGGCGAGTTGCAAAGCTACCAGGCATTGAAATGGGACATTCCAGAAAGCATAAATGCATGGTCTTGATGCAAGCTGTTAGACTTAAGAGACAGGACCCTCATGGGGGAAGGACAAGCTGAACTGGCCTGAGGAGACTTAGCCTGGGACTTAGGGTAGAAGCCTAGCAAGCATGCTCTCAGAGCCCAGAGAACTCAGTGCTGGGATCTTTGTCTCTTACTGTGTTTATCCCAACAACTGCAAGTATTGATAACATACACAACCAGAGGGAGAGATGGCACTGTTGCACTGTCCTCCCATTGTTCATTGATTTGCCCAAGCAGGCACCAGCAACATCTCCATTGTGAGACTTGTTACTGTTTTTTTTTTTAAATTTTTATTAGTGAGACACCATGAGGTACAGTTGTAGACTTAGAAATTTTCCTGCTTGGGTTTCAATTATACAATGATCAAATACCCATCCCTCCACCAGTGCCCAATTCCCACCACCACGGATCCCAGTATCCCTTCAACCCCCCCATCCCCCCATGGGGAGTTTGCCAGGATCTCTCCAAAAGGGATGGAGGAATCAAACCTGGGTCGGCCGCATGCAAGGCAAATGCCCTACCCGCTGTGCTTCAGTCAGAGGGAAAGATAAAAGTAACGTAAATGTTCCTGGGAGACACAGGAAATTATCCCCAAGATAATTTCCTATATTTTATCTATGTAAATAATCTATGTAAATTTCCAGATATTTTGGCTATGTAAATGATCAGTGACACTGAAGTCAGGAGTCTGCAAGAACTTGCTGAGTAGATCAGATCACAGATCACAGATCATCCTGTTATTCGTCGATTGCCTCGAGCAGGCCCCAGTAACGTCTCCTTCATCCTAGCCCTGAGATTATATTCAAGGCTCTTTAGGAGAATGAGACCCATCATTGTTACTGGTATTTGGCATATTGGGTACGCCACGGGGAGTTTGCCAGACTCTGCCGTGTGGGCAGGTTACATTCGGGAGCCTGCCAGTTTGTCAAAGTAGAAGCCAGTTTGCTGAGTAGAAGCCTGGGAAATGCCCAAGAGTGGACCCCCTTCCCCTGCTGGCATCGGGAGGGAGGGGAGGAGGCAGATCCCAAGCAGAGTCTGAAGGAGGTGGCCAGACTGGTATTCAGGTCCTGTGGCTGCACCACGTTCCCTTTCAACTCTGTGTCTCCCAGGCTTCCACCCCAGTGCTTCGGAAGCCCAATAACGGGCACGTCCACTTCGTTTCACACAGCAGACCTTTAAACTCGGCTCCCACCAGACTCAGTTGACTAGTTCCAGTTGGGTCTGAGTTTCTTCACCAGCAAAATAAAGGTGTTGGGCTAGAGAAAAAAAAAACTTAAAAAAAAAAAGAACACTCAAGGATCAATAGTTTCTGCAGGAGTGGCAGACGGGATTTGGGATAAAATAGGTCACTCTGAGCCACTTCCTTTGGCATATGGCTGGAGTAATAAGAACTCCCCAAAATGCTGCAGAACTTGTCAGATCCTTTGCCGGAAGAATCAAGTGAACCGAATGAGTCTCCAGGACTTACCCAGAAACAGAAACTGCACCATATGTGAGGATCTCTCGGGGTCTTTTCACTTCGGTTGTGGGAATTCTTCACCTGTTTCCTTTGAGAACAGAGATAGAAGGAGAAGTATAATCAATGCTTGCCTCCTGTTAGTTCTTTTCGGGGGATGGGAAACTGCGGCTGTTCTTAAACCACAGCCCTGAAGTAGCTCAACGCAGGCGGCGACCAGGAGACCATTTATTTAATAGAGCACTTGAAGATAAATCAATGGGATTGCAAACAGCCGAAACAACTTCTTCCTTAAGCCCAGACTGTGTCATTGCAGACAACTTTAATGATGCGACAGCAGAATGGATTCAGAACAATATGCACTGTGGATTGTGCATGTGTGTGTGTGTGTGTGTGTGTGTGTTGTATGTGTGTGTGTGTGCATGACACTGTCCATTGGCAAAGCTCCTGTGAAGGTTTTTTCCCTCTGGGCGTGTTGAGTAGCACAGTCTTGGCCCTCACCCAGACCGTGTGGTGAGTTGAGTATTGCTTACGGATCTACCCTAACAGACCCTTATGGGCAGTGCAGGTCCTCAATGCTGCTCCACACAGGGAACGTGGCCTGCCCAGGGGCTCCTGAACCTTCAGATAAGGGACTTCTCTTCTTTTTCTGGCTACAAGAGATCACTTCCGTTCGATCTCCATCTCTGTCAATGGTAGCTTCGAACTCTCCCCAGAAGGAGCAGTTTGCATCAAGGGCTATGTCAGAGTCAGCATCGAGATGTAGGAATAGGGGCCATTCGCCAGGGCCATCAGCACATTCCTCTGTGGGATTAAAGCACATATGCTTGGAAGCCCCCCCTGCCCCCCAAACCCCACCAGAAGTTGTTGGGGTTTTGTTTTTGCTTTTTGGGTCATAACTGGTCATGGTCAAGGGTTACTCCTGGCTCTGCACTCAGGAATCACTCCTGGTGGTGCTTGGGGGACCTTATGGGATGCCGGGGATCAAACCCGGGTTGTCCACATGCAAGGCAAACACCATCCTTGCTGTATATCCCCTCCAGAAGTTTTAACGGAGAAGACCCAAAGTGGGTGAAGGCATCTGTCTTGTTTTTCTCTTTTGATAGCAGGAATCAAACCCAGGATCTCACACCTACAAGGCATGTGCTTTATAGTTGAGTCATATCTTTGGCCCCTCATTTTCACCGAGGCTTTGCCTCTGCTTACAGCCTGTCCTCAACACCAGGAGATGAAGCACAGTGTGTGGTTGTTCCTATAGTGGACAGCTACTCAGTAATAAGAAAGAAAAGGCTGTTGCAATCTGCAACCTCATGGATGAATTTTCTAGACCTTAGAAAAGAGCCAGTCATGGAATGATAGGCCACGTGGGGTCTCGTTCAGACAGGAACCAAAGGGCCCGCAATGTTGGGCAGCATTTACATGGAGTTTGCAGTCAAAATAGTAGTTTTGGAAGTTGGGACTCTGGGGACATTGGTGGTGGGAAATGTACACTGGTGAAGGGATGGGTGTTGGAACATTGTGTGGCTGAAACCCAGTCACGGACAACGTTTTAACTATGTATATCATGGTGATTCAATAAAAAAAAAGTCGTTTCTGCTGGAGGGGGGGTGGGATTAATAACCAAGATAGAGGGTCTAATTCAGCTTAACCCACCTAGAGCTTCGAGAAGTAGAGTGTTCCCTATTCCCTGCCTTCTGTCACACACACTCCGTGTTCACCGACCTCCAGAACTAGCTCCCTCCTTTCCCTGTCTTGCATATTAAATGCCCCGCGAACTAGCTGAGTGTTAAGCCCCAGATCTTTAGGGACCAGATCTTTCCTTTATCCATGTCAGTGGTTACACCCACTTTGTCCATTCTGGAAGGGCCACCTTGAGTGGACTGCATGCTCACTGACCAGCTCCTCTGTGTGGCTCTTGGGGCTCCTTTTACCAAGACGATCCCCTGTGGTTTTCAAAATAACCTTGACAAGTAGACTTACTTTATTTTTTTTAACCACCCCGCCCAGTTCCCGTATTATCAGTGCAAAAGGGGCAATGAAGACGGGGAGTCCAACTGCTAAGTCAAGAGGGGGCGGAGTCAGACCAGCCTGGACCTTGCGGAACCTCTTAAAATTTAGGGCCTTTTTTCTCCCATGGCCTGAGGGCGGGGACAGGGCAGGGGTACAGTAAGGGAGCGATATGGCCAGTGAAAGATGAACAGAGGCCCTGCCTTGGCACAGCCGTGCCTGGCCCCAGTGCAGAATTCAGCCGGCCAGGTCCTGGGGCAGGCAGGCTCCATACTCTTCGGGCTCACCCCTGCCGGCAGCTTGGAGGCGGCAGCCTCAGGGCGACTTCTGTTGGGCATAACTTGGGAGCCAGGAAGGAAGCCAGTGGGGAATGCAAAGATATCTTGATGTCTTTACTTGGAGGGCTCTGACGCCTGGAGATCCGAGGAGCTCGTTCTGTGGGGGTGGCCAGGCTCAGGGGAAGATGCACTGGAGCAGATCTCTGTGGTGTGCGTGTGTGTGTGTGTGCGCGTGTGTGTGTGCGTGTGCGCGCGCGCGCGCGTGTCGGCGCGCCTGTGCGTGGAGGGGGGCTTGCTGTACCCAGCGCGCGGCACTGGCGGGGAGGAAGCGGCCGCGTTGATGTGAATAATCGACTCTCCAGCCGCACCAGACGCTCGGGAGCGGGCGGAGAGCGCGGGCTCCAGCACCACGGACAGCGCCGCGCCCGCCGCAGGCGCCCCCGCCGCCGGCTCCGGCCTGGTCGCCGCCGTGCGCTCCGGGAGCCGGTGGCCGCGCCCCGCGCCGCCGCCGGGAGACTGCGGGGTCTGCCTCGGCCCGCCTCCGGGGAGGGCGGCCGCGGGCGGGAGGCGCCCCCGAGCCCCTCCAGCCTGCGCGGGGGCTGCCGCGGCTGCGGCTCGCCGGCGGGGAACAAGTCCCTAAGTTGGCGCGGGGGGCGCCCCCGCCTGCCTCCCCATCCTCTTCCTCCGAGGCCACCGCAGCGGCAGCGGCAGCAGCCCGCGTCGGGAGCCCCGCGCGGCCCGAGCCGTGACGCCCGGGGCGGCCCGGGGCGCTCTCCGGACTCCCGCCCCGGGGGAACGCGGGGCGCGGCTGCAGCCCCGCCGCCGAGGGTCGGGAGGGAGCTGCCCGCGGGGATCCCCGGCCCCACGCGCGCGCGCGGCCCCACGCTCACGCTCGCCCGCACACTCGCCCGCACGCGCGCCCGCCCGGAGCCGGGGCTGCGGACAGGGCTCGCGGGCGCGCCGAGCGGCCGGGCAGCGGCCGGCCGTCCGTCCGTCCGGCGCGGGGTGGCCGCCAGCCGCGCTCCGGCTCGTGGAGGGAGGCGCCCGCCCGGGAGGGGTGCGGAGCCCAAGCATGGGGCCGGGCGAGCGCTGAGAGTCTCGGCTGCAGCCTTCAGCCCTGGAGATGACCAGGAGCGGCCACTGCTGAGAACTATGTGGAGAGAGGCTGCGGTGAGTGCGGGCGCGGGACGGACGCGGGGCCCGGGTGGCCCCTTGGGGAAGGGGACGGCTGGAGGCCTGGAGGGGAGGAGGCGGCGGGACCGCAAGGGGGTCGCTGCGTGGGAGCGATCGCGCCTCCCTCCCCCTCTCCTCCTGCCGGCTCATCGCAAACTCAGCCAGCGCCCCCTCCCTCCTCGGCGGGCCCCCTCCGCTCCCTCCGCTTCCCCCGCCCTGTCCCCCCACCCCCTTCCCCGCTCGGCAGCTTCTGGCCGCAGAACTCTCGGCAGCCGGCGCTGGGGAGGTGGTAGGGGGGGAGATGCAGGTGCCCAGTTAAAGCTGCTCGTGGGTGGCCAGCCCGGGGCTCCGTTCCTCGGGGCGCCGCCGAGCGGAGCTCTCCGTATGGGCCACGGGGTCTGAGGATCCGACCGGGGGGCGTCCCTGGCGCGGAGCTCCAGCCGCCGCCACTCAGGTCGGGCCCCCGCCCCCCGTGCGCACGGAGGGCCGCGAGCACTGCAGACTGCAGATGGACCCCCGGCTCCTCGCCCCTCGCGCTAACCCGCTCTCCCGCTCTCTCTCTCCCTCCCTCCCTCTCCGCCGCCCGCTCCCTCGCCCTCTCTTTCCCGCCTCGGCAGAGCCCTGCGGCAGAGCCTCCGGCTGGGATAGCCGCCCCCCGTGGGGGCGATGCGGACAGCTCGGGACAGCCAGGGGAGCGCGCGGGGGCCGCAGCATGCGGGAACCCGCTAAACCCGGTGGCTGCTGAGGCGGCCGAGATGCTCGTGCGCGCGGCGCGCCCCACCGCATCCTCGACCTTCTCCGGCTACAGGTACGTCCCGGCGGGAGCCGCGGCTCGGCGCGCCCGCCCGGCAGGAGGGAGCTGGCGCCGAGGGAGAGCGGGAGCCGAGGGCCGGGGCGGAGAGCCAGAGCGGGAGCCGGGCCCCGCGGCGAGGGGCGGCGAGGGGCGCCAGGGGGCGCTGCGGCTCCGCGCTGCCGGGGTTCGCCCGGACCCGCCTGCGTTCGCGCCCCAACTTCCCCGGCTCCGGCGGCGCCCGGCGCGGAGGGCGCGCGCCTCTGGACACGCGCGCGCGCGGACGTGCCGCCGCCGCCGCCGTCCGCGTGTGCGTGTGCGTGTGTGTGTGTGTGTGAGTGTGAGAGCGCACGCCCCCTCGCCCCCGCCGCCGCCCCGTGCCCCCTGGACGTGCGCGGACTCTGGATGCGGGTGGGCGCGGGGAGACGCGCCAGCGCGCCCCCGAGGGTGTGCAGCCCGGGCCCACGTGCATCCATCCACCCCAGACTCGAGCGGCGGGCCCCGAGTGGGCAGGCAGAGAAGGGGCGGCACGGTCCACGTCTTTCGGGGCCCCCACCGCCACCCTAGGCGCGCTCGCCGCCAGCTCCCACGCGCCGGCCCGCGGGGGGACGTGTCTCCTCTCCGGAATTCTGCATTGCCCGGAGCGCGCGCGCGCGCGGGCGCACGGGCGCGCGGGCAGGGGGCGGGTCTCGGCCGCTGGCGCGGGAGGGGGAGACCTTATTTTCCTGGCGACCTGGGGAGGGCCCTAAGTTCCCCCAAGTTCCCCGGAGCCCCAGCATCTTCTTGCCTCCGCGCCCTGGGGGGCTGCGGCTGTGCCCGGCTGGAGGGGTGCGGGGTCCTCCCGCGGCGGGTGCTTCAGCGGGGTCCTGTCTGTGCGTCACCTGGCGGGTTGGGGGGTCGGCCAACTCGCCGGGCCTCGGTGCGCGGGAGCCCGGATGGAGCCGCGCCTCCTCCGCTCGCCCCCGGCGGGTCTCTAGTTCCCGGGGATGCGCTGGGGGCGGGCCCGCAACTTGGGAGGCCCCGCAGGGGTGAGTTGGAGGGAGGCTGGGGGCGCGCTCGCGGAGGATGCAGGGCGATGTGGGCGGGCGGGGAGGAGAGGCTGAAGGGCAGAGGCCAGGCGAGGCCGGCGAGGGGGGTGAGTTGAGGAGCGGGGCCGGGGGCGGGCGCGGGGGGCCGTGCGTGGCCGGGCGGCCCGCCTTGGGGCAGGGCTCCAGCGGGGCGCCTCTGGCGAGGACCCGGGCCCGGCACCCGTGGTCTGGACCCTTCCTCTCCGTGCCCCTTGCAGGGACCGTCAGTGGCGGCGACTATGGGCAGACTGGGCTACTGGGCGCTGCTGGGACTGGCGGCCCTTCTGGTGTGGCGCGGCCCGGCGCCCGCGGCGGCGGCCGAGAAGGGGCCTCCGGCGCTGAACATCGCGGTGCTCCTGGGCCACAGCCACGACATGACGGAGCGCCAGCTGCGGACGCTGTGGGGGCCCGAGCAGGGCGCGGGGCTGCCCCTCGACGTGAACGTGGTGGCGCTGCTGATGAACCGCACCGACCCCAAGAGCCTCATCACGCACGTGTGCGACCTCATGTCGGGCGCCCGCATCCACGGCCTGGTGTTCGGGGACGACACGGACCAGGAGGCCGTGGCGCAGATGCTGGATTTTATCTCCTCGCAGACGTTCGTGCCCATCCTGGGCATCCACGGGGGCGCGTCCATGATCATGGCTGACAAGGTAAGGCCAGGGAGGAGGGGGCCTGCCGCCCAGAGCGCCCCGCACCCCTGCTCCGCCAGTCGGGGAGTCTGGTGGGCCGGGTGAGGGCCGGGTGAGAACCGGTCCGGCCTGTCCGACCCGGACGTGGACAGACATGCCATTTATCTTGGTTCTGAAAGTGGCCTGTTGGAGGGGGCTTGTGAGGAAGAGTCCAGAGCGCTGGAAATTTGACGGGGTGGTGTCAGGCTTGGAGACTTTCAAGTCCAAGCGGAGGCAAAGCCCGGGGGTTCCGGGAATGCATGCCTCCTCTCCCACCCCTGGGTGTCCGCCTGCTTGCTCTGCAGACGTGTCCTCTGCCCTTTCTCCTGTCCCCTTCCATCCATCCGGGGCGGTATTATGGAGCGGAGTGCAGAGCGTTTAGGGACCACATGGTAGGGACAGGGATGCTTAGGCAGGAACTCTGAAGCTGGGCTAAGGGGGGTGGAAAGTGGGAGACGCTCTGGGAGACAGTGACCCGCCCCTGCAGTGTGTGGATGCGTATGGAGAGCACTGTCCCTGGGTCCCCAGCACTGTCCCTGGGACCCCAGCACGCAGGGCCTGGAGCTCGGCAGCGCTGTCGGAGGCTCCAGAACCTCAGCTGGAGGGAAGGTTCCCAGCGATGGTGTCGAGGCTGGACAGGTCCAGAGGAAGGCGGTTGTGAGGAGGGTCTGCAAGACAGCCGGGAGACGGGGGGGGAGGACAGGGCTAAGACTGGGGCTGATGTGGCACGAGGGGCCGGCAGATCAGAGATCTTCATGGGGCATGGAGAAGAGCAAGAAAATGTTGGAGGCAGATCAGAGGGAGGCGGCGAGGGGGATGGGAAGGACTCGGGTGAGGAGTGAAGGGTGTGTGTGTGTGTGTGTGTGTGTGTGTGTGTGTGTGTGTGTGTGCAGGGGGGGACCCAGTCAGGGAGGAAGCGGGGAGCGGCGGCAGCTTGGTCCCCCCTGTGCCCGGTGTGTTGGGAGACAGGCTGATGGAAGGGATATCACTGGTGACATCTGTCTTTGCCCCCACCCCAGGGGCCGCCCCTGCCTCCGTCCTCCCCCTCGGGCTCCCCTGCGACCTGCTGTCACCACTGTGCTTTCCCGGGTGGTAGGAGCACTCTCCCCGAGTCCACCCCAGTGGACGTTCATTCTCTGTGACCTGGTGGCCAGGAGCTGCTGGCTGTGGCTGACTTGTCCACCAACCTGTCTCAGAGGTGGGGTTTGCTTTGGTCACTTCTTCTGGGAGGACAGTCCCTCACCTCGGCCATCGGGTCATTTCCATGCTGGGGCGAACCGTGGAGTGCCGAGACTATCCTGGAGTTGCAGAGGGAGTGACCAGGACTCAGGACAGTGGGCAGGCACTGGTTGCAGGGTCTGGCTCCCGCCTGTCCCTTAGCTCTGCTTCCCTTTCAGGGGGTACAGGGACTTTATCTCCCCCTGAGCCCTGGGGAGGAGCAGGGACAGGAATCTGCTGCCTGGAGGTGGGGGGACATGGGCTTTGGTGTTGGCAGGGAGAGGAGGGCATCAGGGTCCAGAGGGGCTGAGGGAGGTGACTCGGGCATGCAGGCATGTAGATATTCATCCCCCTCCTTCCTGCTGAAGTTTCCACCAAAGTACCAAAAAAAACGTTCAAAAGTACAGCATCTGGATTGACCAGAGCTTAGCAGGGTCATTGGAGAAACTGGAGTCATGGGAGTCAGTGGCATGAGGGACCCAGGCTGGAGTGTTGAAGGGGCACTGAGTACTGAGCACTCACTGAGAGCTGAGTGCCTACCGAGCAGCTGCTGAGCATGTCTGCAGGGAGCCGCGGGCTGTGGGGTGTGCTGTGACCTCGTTTACCTCCTCCGATGGTAGGCAGAGAAGCAGGGACGGAGCAGGGGAGCCTAGGAGAGCCCCCTTTTACCTGCCGCCATGTTGGGTGCCTCCTTGGAAGGAATCCTGGGGGAACCCCAAGCTCTCTGGAGGCGGTGGGGAAGGGACCTGAGGATCACCCCACTGAGGGGGAAAGAGGAGAAGGGGAACCGTGAGGCCCTTGGAGATGAGAAAAGTGAGAAAAGGGCCTTTCTTAGTCCAGAAGCCAAGCCTGGGGGTAGGGGAGAGGATGAGGAGCAAAGGAAGAAGATATCGGGCCAGCTCCGAGGGGCCAGGGTGTCTCGGGGTTGGTGGCTTTCCTCGGGGTTGGGGCATCAGGACACTGAGGGGGCTTCTGTGACATATGTGACTGTGTTGATGGGGTGGGGTCCCGAGCTGGGTTGGAAGAAACTGAGATGTTTTTAAGACACACGTGGCCTTCCCCATACCCCATGGGGGCGGCCGTCGGCTGCCGGGTCCCCAGGCTACTAGGCGCTTTAGACCACTCCCCCTCTCAGTGTGGTTTGTCCGGCCTGAAGAAGCCGAGGGTTTCCTTCCTAGCTTCCTCTTGCTTGCTGGGTGTATTAGAGGTGTTGGGGGGCAGGAGAATTTCCCCCCAATCTGAATGTGCCCAAACCAACGAGGTTCTCTGTCTCCCCGCTTGGGGGATGCACATTTGATAGAGCCCCCAAATACACGTGCACTGCCCAGTGCCTCATCTGTCCAAGCCCGCCGAGGAGATGGCAGGGAACTGGGTGGTCAGTTCCACAGACCCCAGTCACACTTTGTCCCCTCCCCTCTGACTGCTTTTGACCCTGGCGAAGGCAAAGAAGGAAGCCCTATCCGAATGGCACCGTGCTAAGTAGCAGGGTTTGGGGTGGGGTGTGTTAATTTAATTTACCTCGGAGGTGCTAATTTATTTCTTAGTTTTGCTTCTCTCGATGGGTGGTCTTGCAGTGTAATTAATTTAGAGTTGAACACGCTGCCTGATGGAGGGTCTGGCCATTTTGATGCCCCCCAAAGGAGTTCACGTGGCAGTGGGGACAGAGCTAAGTAAAAGGGGAGCTTAGCACCCTCACCTCCTCCTCCCATTCCTTGGGCCCGGGGTCAGCTTTCTAGGGTGCCACTTATCCTGTTGGTTCCTGCCTGGAGTTTGGCCTTGTCTAAACCTTCCCTTACTTCTTCCTACGATACTGATGAAGACGGTTTCATTTTTTTTTTATTTTTCTGGACTAGAGTATTCTGTGCAAGGGTGTATTTGCAATAGCATCCCCCCTCCCTCCAGTTTATAAAAATGCCACTTCTTTCAGAATAGAGCACTTAATTAACCCTGAAGTTAAAATAAAAACCTTCCTCAAAATCCTGTCTGTCACCGGGCCAAACAGTGTTAAGCCCCTGGCCTGGTTCCTTTTAAACTCTGTTATTCAGTTGTATGTTTGGGATTCTACTGGCCGCATGGCTTTGTCTGTTGTCTTTGTGCTCCGGGTAATCTTCGCAAGCAAGTGTTCCGTCAAGTCTGAAAAACTTGGGCTCTTTCTGCTGGATATTTTCTCTCCGACATCATCACTGTCCCCTCCTGGGGCTTTCCCGTATGTAGCGGCCGTTTCTCCCGATCTCGTGCCTGGCATGTTTCTCTTCCCCAGTTCTCTCCGCTGCGGCTGGCCTTGGCCTCCGTTCACTTGTGGGGTATGGTTTGCCGCTGGATCGAGTTTTTCACTTGGGCAGGGCTTTGCTTCCTTTCTGAGATCAGCCATTGATTTCTTCCCATCCCTCCGTGCTTGTTTCTTTTTTAATAAAAGAACTCTACTCACGTGTTGGGGTGTAAGTTGCTCTTCCATTTTATGAGCTTATTGTTCTTCTCAGCCTCTCCCCAAGTGCATTTTGGTGTCTTCTGGTGGGAATTTTCCCAAGCCCTGGAGTCTGCCTGTTGCCTGACCCTGATGCCCTCAGACTGGTCCATAAGCATCGTTTTGAGGTAGTGTTAGGGTTTCTCCTGCCTGTCGCCAGAGAGATGCGTGCTTTCCCGTCAGAGCCAACAGCTGGGCCTGGAGCTCTCTCATGCTTTTTATGTATTCCGGGGTGCAGGCCCGGGTCCCAGCTCCAGGGGGAGAGACCTCACATTTGGCTCCTGGACACACACACACACACACACACACACACACACATACACACACACGCACGCAGACACACACGGCCTGTGTAGACAGTTTGTGGTAGTGTCGTGCCCATCACGGCCTCTGGTTCCTGGCAGGATGTTGGCATCATGGGTCATATGTTCAGGTTTCAGAGACTTGTTTAGGGAAAGGGGAAGGAAGGGAAGAGAATTCAGGGAAGCCCTCCGCCCCCCCACCCCGGGGTTGCGGGAAGGATCTCCTAAAAAAGGAGAACGGTAGAAGCTTTTCACCTTGGGGCCGGAGCGATAGTAGATCGGGGCGGGTGTTTGTCTTGCGTGCGACCTACCTGGGTTCGATCCCCAGCATCCCATAGGGTCCCCCGTGCATCACCAGGACTCATTCCTGAGTGCAGAGCCAGGAGGAACCCTTGAGCCTCTTCATGTATGGCTGAAAACTGGAAAAAACTACGAAAAGCCCCCAAACCCACCCCTTTCCCCAAAGAAGCGTTCCCCCTTTTATACCTTTGCAACAAAGGGGGTGTGAGCAAACATGTCCCTCCTGTGTTCCGGGAATGCACACCATCAGAACAGGCCAGAGAATGCAGAGCTGATTGCTGGCGTCCGGTCCACTCCCTGCTCCAGGGCATCCGGCAGGGCCGAGGGCATCTGGGTCACCTGGCACCACCTGGGCCGCCCTCGTGGCCTTCCGTCACATTGGCCCCTTCTGTCGGGTCACACGCCTCCTCTGGCCCCGCCCGGTCCCTGTGCGTCTCTGACGATGGCTCCCAGTGGACACAGCTCCTCGTGGGACGTGAGTCAGTGCGGGCTCTGTGGCCCTCTGGGCGGTGGCGTCCCGGGGCCTTCCTCCCCCACGGAGGCCGTCCTCTCTGGGAGAGCTCGGGCTGGCCACTTCCCTCCCTGGTCCCCGAGCAGTGCGCAGTGCCCTGCACGCAGAGAAAGCGTCTGAGCTTCCGGGGAGGCTGGCCGCCATGCCGGCTCTGATTCTGACCCGGTTCCCTCCCAGAACGTCCCTT